CAAAATTTGCCGCATGTAACACAACTAAATCAATTTAGCTTTATTCAATTTTAAGTTGCAAGAGCGCAATTTAATAATTTCATGCGAAGCCATGTTATAATGAAAATGTAGAAATTCAATAAAAAATTTGAAGTGACACAGATTTATATGATATGTAGGGCTTGCAAGTATAAATGTATATACATTACAAGGTTTCATATTTTATTTCTGTCATAATTATCAATGTTTGGTATTTATACAGATTTATTGTGCTACATAAACTTTGTTTCTATTGATTTTCAGTCAAGTTATATATTGCTCAAAGTCTGCTAAAAGCTAAAAGTCTCTCAATCATCGCGGAGCTTACTCTGATTAAATTATAATGGCTCGCTTCTTAACATTCAATGCACAGGAATTTTTTTAGAAGACTCCTCCATGGTTATACTAATCAATATTTCATTTGAAATGAAGGATAACGACGGTGCAATCCATTACTGTGATCAATTTGACTGATGAATTAATCTATTTTACAGGGTGAAAGTAATGAAAATCAACTGAACATGATCGTTAAAATGTAATTGTCATTCTTTTCTTTCGTTTCTTTGTTTTATTGTTCCGCATATCACATAACAAGGTTGTCTCACATTTAAGATTTAACAAAAGAATGCATTTTAAAAATTAAAAAATGATAGACATAGTATAGAGAAATAACAATGTGGAATATGGAGAACCTATCGAGAAGCAACGTTTGTACATTACAGGTTCCAAAATAAAATACATTTTGTAACTTAAATCGATAGCAATAATTAAAGAACGACGTATAATAAAAGTTGATTTGACACATTACCATTATGAATTAAGCCTATAGGTTTTCAAAAAACTAGGACGTAAAGAAACGTGCCTGCATGTAGCCGAGGTCACCTGAGCGAAACATTTAAAGCAAGTACCTTGTATGTCTGATGAGAGAGGATGATAGAGAGAGAGAGAGAGAGAGGGGGAGAAAGAATCAGAGAGAGAGAGAGAGAGAGAGAGAGTGAGAGTGAGAGTGAGCGAGTTGAGCTGGTTCATTTTCAGCATTTATTTGAAGTGCTAAGTTTCAAGGCAATATCGCCGCCAATGTACATTGTAAACACCACACAGTGCACATAATAGTAAGCATTTCTACACTTTCTGCAAATATATACGATTCTACATTGTTTAAGCACCTCACCGTTATCCAACAGCGTCACTGTATGCCATTCTTGTACTTAATCATTCCCAAACGACGATAACAGTTTGCGATTCTCAATCGATATCAAAATATTATATGCATATCATCTATATGGAAAAGCAGTGGCGGACTAACAGGGAAAACGTGACCATACCCTCTATTAAAAATCCAATCTCATACTCTAACCTTACCCTATCACACACATACAAAAAGTTCTCACTAGCTTACCCCCTTCAGACTGTAAAAAACACGAAACGGCAGCCTGAAAAACATGTGAACGTTTAGTGCTTGTCAGAGATTTATTTCTTCATAAACATGCTTCCCCTTAATAAAATCCTGGTTTCGCTCCAGTTCAAATGCATTTATTAGAATGAAAATAAGAAAGAAATGCGGAATTAATGTCTCCCAAGCTTAACTGTTTAGCGTATTCGATGATACCTATTCATTCAATGGTTAGGCTCTTGATGTCAAGAAATCTAAAAGAGAATAATAAGCAATAAAAAGATCCGATCTATTTTAGAGGCAATCCAATGATCCAATCCAAAGTTCAAACTTACGTCATTACCATATACACATAGAAACATTGTTACGACATAGGCCTACTGGTTGTTTATACCTTTATTTCCTTTACAGGAACAAGACTTTTTGTTGGAAGAGTGTAAATAAAAATACAAGCTATAGTCAATTTTCAAGAAAGACTCCTCATCACTAACACAACAATAATATAGGCCTACACCATCATTGCAAAGAATTTTGAAAAACAAACTCAAAGGCAATTTCGGTACCCTTTTTGTGTAAAGAAATCATATTCGGATTATGTATTACATCGTAGTACAAAAATTCAATAAGTGATGGAGAAGTTCTTTTGAAATATCCTTCGAATTTTCTTTTTCTTTCGAAAGTCTGTGCAATAGTGTCGCTAATCGTGGTTTAAAACATGTACACATCTTCTCTGGATCTGGCCGTTTCATCCAACATTTTTTAAAATTATCTATAACAAAATGTTACATTTCTATAAAAAAAAAAGTTGCTCACAACCTATCAAATTCAATGATTTCAGTAGTTTATAACCATTTTGCAACTTGTTATTGATAACGAGTTTCATGAAACGATGCCCTGTTTTGTGTAGACTGAGCTTTTGAAGATTAATTTCCAACTCTGATTTGTTGAAGGTATTATCATTTTGATTCATTTTATATACATTTTAAATATCTTGCCACAACGTTTTGAAAATGGTATAAGATCATCAAATCAAGGGGGAAAAAATCGGATAAAAAATTATATAAGAAAAAGAAAGGATCGATTTATAATCATGGGAACTTTCCTAGTACGTTTTCAGAGTACTTAAGCTGAACAATAGTTAGAAAGAAGGAACGTATAATCTCCTTTTTTCGAACTTAACAAAAAAAACATTCCCACAAATATCGTTTCTAAACATTTGTCACAGAAATCAATATCAAATGAATACTCTCGTTTATAAACAATTAAAGAGCAATTGCAAAGAAACTAGTAATTTGTGATATAGGCTCTGAAGTAGAGGGCGTATAGCATGGATGATGCCCGAGTTTGAAACATTATCGACTGGTGAATAAAGTAATATTTTATGAATAAGATTTGCATCTTAACATTTTACTAAAAGCTCGCCGAAAGTCTTTATTAAACAGTGTATAAATAATCGGATTCAACGCACTATTCCAGTAGCCAATCCATGATATGATGATGTAAGTCTGTTCAGAAACGTTACAGGTGTCACAGACAGACAGCGTAACGTGCATCACAAAGAAAGGTAACCAACACGCTATGAAGACCCCGACTATGATGGCGATCGTTCGAGCCGCTTTCATATCAATTCCTTTCATAGCAAAAGCGCTCCTCACAATTTCTGTAAATTTGGCAGTTTAACGCTACGCGTACCGCCTTGACCGGACTGTGCGGTATCTGTGCAGTTCTGTGTGTAGAGAGGTCGGGCTGTATTCATTATTTCTTGGGGGTGCATAAATTGCTCTAATTATACGTACGCGTGTAATGCGCAAGTTTATTGTGACGACACTAAACCCATCCCACTCATTGTTCCCCTATTTTCATAATGGTACTGACCCAATGAAATGTAGTGCAGTGCGCTCGTACGCGCTGCGCTGCGTGTGTACATGTACTGTACTTATGCATGTTCAGTTATGTGTATGCATAGCATTACGTACATGCATACAGGGCTAGCTGGCACAAAACCCTGGGTCGGGCTTCTAAAATGGGACATGAAGCATGATTTGACATGAAAATTGACGGAGCTAAAAATGAATCAATCAAAATGAAATTTATATGTATGAAAAGCTTACGTATCATATGTCATTGTCTGTGATTGAGGATTTACAAATTTGACGCAAAACGCGTTGCTGCAAAGTTAAAGATTGGTTTATTGAAAGGCAATCGAGCACAGTGCGACCGATCCATTGACATTGTGTATGAGAGAGTAATTTTTTTAAATGGATTGTAAAGTTCAACGTCAAAGTGACGGAGGTTTTTTTTCAAGTAAGGGCATGGTTTTACATGGAATGTAAAGGAAATGTTTCCTTCTTCTCATATCTCGATTGAGGATATTATTCTCAATTTCGATTTTTAATGGTAAAGAAAAGTGTAAAAAGATGTCGAGAATTTTACCATATGTCATGTAATATAAAATGCGCGCGGGTCGGTTGATCTCCCAAAAGGAGCGCGAAGGAATTGATATGCCGCTCACGCGTCGTCGAAATCCTGGATGTCGACGAAGCACCTTCTGAATTTTGCGATTGGAACACATTTGCGCGGGAAAGCGTCGACCGGAGTCTCTGGAGCGTAGTCTGCCGCCGGAGCTGCGGCTTCATCTCGATTGAGAACTCAACCATGGAGACCGTATTGAAGTTGTTGCCAACCATGGCGGCGCGCTTCTTGGCTGCTCGGTAGATCTTTACGTAGACAAAGAGCACCACGAAGAGAGGCCCGTAGAATGAAACGAAAGAGGAGCAGATGGCGAAGGCAGCATTTCTCTGAATACCGCATTGCAATGTCTCGTTCGAGTAGTCGATCACAAATACAGCTGGTACGCTGACTAGAAAGGACAGCGACCATACGGCACCTATGATTTTCGCCGCTAATGTCGGGGTGCGTCGTACAGCGTATTTGATCGGTTGATTGATGGCGCGGTAGCGGTCGATCGAGATGGCGCAAAGGCTCAAAATGGAAGCTGTGATCAGGAGGACATCGATACTAACCCAAAGCGTACACAGAACCCTACCAATGTACCAGCGCCTGAGGAAGAGGTACTGGAGACCCAACGGCAGGATCAGGATGGAAACGAAGACGTCAGTGACGGCAAGGGAACTCACGAAGTAGTTGGAAACCGTGCGAAGGTTGTGGTTCTTGGCAATGGCCACAATGACGAAGGTGTTCCCGAGGAAACTGAGGAGGGTGATCACCAGGCACGACGCGAAATGGACGATGTCTACTGCGCTCTTAATGGAATAGCTTTCCGAAGATGAATTGGACAAAGAGGTATTCATCTTATATCAAAGATCTTGATATAACTAACAGGAGGTTAACAGTTTGGGAAGTATCAAGCAGGTGCAATAAATTTAGAAGTTTAAAATTGTAATGGCATTGATGAAGGTGTACAGTTTTCCTCCAGTATTCGCAAAATGCCTCGAGAAAGGAAACATATCATAATCGAGTCTCGCTGAAGTCAGGCACAGCAGAGTCGTTTTTCCTTAATGCTAAATTTAAGCGAATCACGTACAAAACAAAGAGGAAGTCTGTTATTGTTGATAGCATACAATAATTTTAAAAAGTCTTGCAAGTTTAGAAATAGTTGCGATGTCTATCTGTCGTATACTAACCTACGAAGAATCGCTGCAAGGATGATCCATACAGATGATGTAAAGCAAAAACTACGGGGCCCCTGCGCTCCATTGTCTTTACGTCTGGTTCAAATAGTCCTTGATTCAACTTGATGAACAGCTGTTCTTACATGACAAGACATAACAGGCTCTTCAATTTTGAAAGTTGCGTTACTGACGTGGACATTCCGGAAGCGTTATTGTTGTCACTTTGTTGGACCCTGTGATGAAATTTTCATCATCGTACCCACCGAGAAAAATTAGCATCCGAGGCGGAAAAAGCTGGTCCCTTTATTACAAACGCCCTACTTCCAAAATGCTTTCCGATGATCTTATCTTCATTCCTAAGCTTAGGACAGGACGTTTGTCTTTGAGACGAGGAAGTCGCCGATGTTTTGTTAATAAAATCGAAATACATTCTATTCAAGAAAGAAGGTGTATTAGTGTCGTCTGCCGAATCCTGAGAAACTAATTAACGCATTGGCCACTAATTAGCACGCAAAATCAACAGCGCATACGTAGGGGCAGAAAGTACACCGACTTAATAATGTCTTTTCGCTTTGGGCATTCGTAAAAACAGTATCAAGAGGCTTGATAAAGGTTCGTACAGCTCGTTAACAAAGGTATGATAATTACATGTGTAAATAACACTACCTCGGCGTTGATTTCCTATTTATTCATTTTGGAGGTATTTTGTTTGATTTTGTGACGTCATGACAAGGACCGTGGGGGAAATCATGGATGAGAGAAATTGAGAAACCACTTCAGGTCAATGGTGTTAACAGAAAATTGATTGACTATAAATTATGTGTGTACTCTGTATCTAGAGGAGGCTATACAGTACGTACATGTCCGTGTATGTAAATGTGGGAGAGAGTGTCACAATGGGGGAGGGGCAGGGGGAGGGGGGACAAGGAGGGGGGGGGGGGGTGGGTCCGTCGTTGGAATTACAGTGTATCTCTCTTTTTCGCTCTGCTGGTAGGGGAGATGATGTTTTGAAAGTCATAATGAGTGATTTTCATATTATATCATAGAGAATAATTAATACATTAAATTGTGTATCTATTTTACTTTGAATATATAGAAATAAACGGTATAAATAAAGGATTGCACAAATTTTATGCCAATGTTTCCTTTGAGCAGGGCCTAGCTTCGTGAGGGAGTTAGACATGCTAAACATAGCAAGTGAGAGAGAATGACTGTACGTTGTGGGAGAAGAGAAAGATTTTGAAGGTGATAGGTGGATAGGAACTACGAGAATGAAAGAGACAGAGAGATGGGGAGAAGAGAGAGAGAGTGAGAGAGAAGAAGAGTGAAGAGAGAGAGAGAGAAATAATAAGAAGAAGAGAGACAGAAAGAGAAAGAAGAAGAAGAGAGATAGAGAGAAGAACAAAGGATCAAAATAGATTGGGAGAGAAGAATAGGGGAGAGGGAAGGATGGGAAAGAGAAGGTGGAAAGGTCGATAAACTAAATCGAATTGAATCAGAGAAATTGGGTTTTGCAAAGAGAAATTCGAGAAGGAGAGCAACGGAAGCGGAACGGAAGGAAAAGAGGCACGTATCGCAGTCAAATTAACCAACCTGTCCATTTACAATTCTTGCTGCATTACGCGAGTTGATTCAAATTAGTTCAAAGTAAGTGAATGGCTTCATGCAAGTTTTAACACCTGGAAATTAACTTTAATGTGACATGATACGGCGAGACGAATTCCGATTTCCATTTTGAAATGACGCGCACTTTATTTTAAAAGGCTAGATGTGAGCTAATGTTTTTCAGCGGTTCGCAAGCACATTAACTTGAATGAAAAGTGTCGAAATTGCCCGAGAATAGCCCAATATAGTTTTAATGAGCCAGTTAGATTCATTGCCATTGGCAGACTGGGCATTGGAGAGAAAGGTGGTGACATGTTAATCGATGATAGCCCGGAAACATATTTTGTATTAAAATCCGGCCACATGTGAGCAAAATGGACTTTTACTTTTTTATTAACATTATTGTGAAACAGAAAAAAGCAAATTAAGTTTTACATTAACTTTTTAAGTATCTTTTATTACGGAAGAAGGAAAGGAGGGAGAGAGCGAAAGCTAAATATAATCTTATTTGGCTTTCTGTTGTATATTCGAAGACAAATTTCAAGTTAATTGCTTTTGCACTCTGAAGAAAACTCCTTTTCATAAGTCCAACGACGTTTTATTAAACATGTCAGAATAATTAGTTTTTATTTTACTTTTCTATATTTTCCCTTCTCTCTCTTTATTGATGGATTATTTTTTCTTCATTCGAGTGATCGAAATTTGGGCGTTGTAATTTAGCAATTAGAAAATGGTCATTTTCAGACCAGCATAAATATGTCGATATGAATTCGCAATTCACAAATAAAACACCACCATTACATTTTTTATTTGCGATTTAACCCATCGTAAACTGGAGCCTGAAAGCTCATTGCTCGAGAGCTTATTGGAAAGAGGGAATTCAGTTGGCGATGGGTTAAGAAATTTCTTGACACCTTACTTGGACTACGAGAGTACCTGTCGCGCCACTCTTTCTCGTTCTTCCCATCTCTCTCTCTGTCTCTCCTCTGTGTTCCAGTTTAATTACTTTAGTATTTCTGCATCGTCGATATTTTAAAAATACAGGTGTCTGACGCTGAAAGATTTCCTCCTTTGTCACAAGTCCATGTTAATTGCATGTAGCCTCCGCCCTCCAGTGTTCGGATTGCTAAAAAAAGTGTTATTGACGTCATACATGTAAAAGAGTGGTCAAGACAAGGCCCCAATCACACATGAGATCAGTGGGCGCAGCAGGGTTTCAGCTATGAGGGTGGGGGCTCTTATCTTTTCCCCACGCCTTCCCGTCATTTTCTCTCCTCATTATGCCCCCATTGAATTAAGGAGGGGGAGGGTCTTATCGCTTATTTTTCTTCCTCCTTTCATCTCTATTCTCCCTGTATTATCTCCCCCTTTTTATTTCTTTATCTATTATTATTATTATTATGATTTTTTTAATTTTTTTTATTATGATTTTTTAATATTTTTTTAATTGATTTATTTTTAATTTATTTTTTTGTTTGGGGGGGGGGGGGGGGCTACACCAGTGCTGTGGGGATTTGAATACACTCTAATGGCTATATCCTATTGGCCCTTGCACCACTACATTGTTTTCTCTTATTTGTTTTCTCTTATTCATCTTCTCTCCTCGCAGTTGAAATTGAAGCAATCCACTCACCATCTGACAAGTATTATTGAAAATGTTTAAACTTTGTCATTACGACTCATCAAATCTAAATGCTCAGCACCATGTAAAAATAAAAATGATCATAATCCCAAAAATTATTCAGAACCACACCATATTGTAAAGAAAGGCTCAAAACTGATGAAACTCTTTCACTGCTCTCTTAAGTTTTCTTGTATCTGTGTTATTGTATTACCCCTCGTCGCTCTCATCTCTCATCATAATAAGCTCAACATCTCATTCTCTTACAAAAAAAATTGAAGTCAGGAGACGGACAATACAGACCACTGCATTTGATACTTTCTACATGCCCTTTATAACAAGTATTTATTGGTATGCATAAAAAATATATAACATAATAAAACGTAAATGGAATAATACTGATCATCTCTATCACGACAAATTTATTTCTGTGATAGTTTACTTTCTGGTTTAGCTTCTTTTCAAATTCAAAGACTACAACTCCTTCAAAATTCTGCAGCGCAACTTGTTATACGCACAAAGAAACATGAATCAATAACGCCAGTCTAAAGAGATCTAAATTGGTTACCCATCAAGTCTTGTATCTTGTTTAAAGTACTTCTATTAAACTACCAATGTTAACATCAACTAGCTCCTTTTTATCTTACTGAATTGTTAACTCCATATAAACCAGATAGAATGCTACGTTCCAGTTCCAAGTCTCTGCTTTGTGTTCCACAAACCATGACAAGGTTACACAAGGAAAGGTCTTTTTCATATGCAGCCGCTTTTAGTGGAAGAAGTTACCTGAACTGAAAAAGTATAAGATCCTTTAAAACATGTATCAATTGTCTGAAGACATAACTCATCACCACTCAACACCATAAATAATCAGAATCATGAACCCAGTGCATAGCTTTTTCTTTTTCTTTGAGGGCATAGAGACATGCAATTTTACCTACCCGGTATGTGCTATGTGTTATATAAAAATGTTTAATTATTATTATCATTACCTGGGACTTAACACATTTAAAAATGAATACTGCATGTATTATGGCTGAAAATGGACAAGACAAGTAAGATAAACATACATGTTTATTTATTATAAATTTCATAAAATTGTAAAAACAAATAACACAATTTTTCTTCTTCATGTGTTAAACAAAACATATTGAATACTACAGTAACATCAAATATATATGACTAAAAGCAAACATTCAGCAAATTGCAACTTTGTTTTTTACCCTTGTTTCGGAAGCAGAAGAGAAAGTGTACTTATGTAGGTGGGCAGGGTAGGTGGGCAGGGTGTGTGTGTGTGTGTGTGTGTGAATGCGTGTGCTTGTTTGTACTTCTGTGTAATAAACTTGTTGATCATTAGCAGGTTTTGTTACCAGACGAAAAAGGAGGTAAAATGAAGTAGGGCGAGATGGTCCTATTCAGTCCTTTAAAAGAGATACGACTTGAAAAGGGAAAAAATATATTGAAGCAACAATTATGTGAATGAAATAAAATTATTTAGTGTACACGTACGGACGGCACTTGATTGACATAACAGAACCACAACTCCAGACCCACACTATAGGAATCTGTCCACTAGAGAGCAGAGATAAGATTGGGAAATATCAAGCCTTAAAATTGATCTTAAAATCGATCCGATCAATTTTAAGGATCAAAAAAATAAAACTGATTTCAGCTTTTAAATCAAATTAAATTTAGAGTGTGATTCGGTTCA